GTAAAATGTTTCGTGTGAGTTCTGAAATACTCAGCTCTCACAAAGCTATGCACAAAATGCATAACAAAATCAGGCGTAATATAATATCAGCGATGTGTTGGCAAATAACTGCTTGCCGGGTTCTCAAGGATTAACGTTGGTTCAGCGTGCATCGCTAATTACCTTCTAACACTGTTATGGGCACAGTTACAATGCTTCCTGGAAGAGGTGCTGAAAGTTGAAAGAAGCTCGCTTCGCGCGTATTCTGCAGGGTTTTTTTGCGCTACTCTTTATTTGTGTTTACCTCTCTGGACGGACGGCTGAACTGTATGGATCCGTGCGAGCTTCAGCTGCAGTTTGGAATTTCTTTGTTCTGCATAAGTATTGGTTCTGTGTTGAACAGGCTGGATTATTTCGTGCAAGCATTTACAGGTGATGCTCAGATTGATCCGGTGGGTGTGGATAGTGGTAGCGATGCGTGTTCAACGCCTGCTCCAGCGGCCGCCAAAAGTGTTATCAGTAATGCTGCCGATGTAAGCCATCAGTTTGAAGTTGGACGACTTACAGTGCTTCACCTTTGAGACTCCACTCCCATGCAAGTGGCTATAATCACAGGTTTTGTTGCGGAAGGTGGACGTTATGGAGGAGGTTGGGATAGTCATTAGTGCGACTAGATGTAAGCAACAGAGGAATGTGTTCGCTTCTTTCTGGATGAACGATGAAGAGAACTGGGGAAACGGATGGTAAGATCGGGAGTGCACTGAGCTGCAGCTCTTAGAGTTTCGTTCATAGAAACTGCTACTTACTACTCTGGTAGCGCGAAGACGCACAACACTGAAGGAGTGGCCAGGGTTTGAAGTGAAATTTAATTCTTTCTCCGAACTTTTGAGCTAAATTAAACAAAATTTTTGTGTAGACTGATTCACTCAGAGATGAATTTTGAAGCACGGAAGCCTTGCTCAGATTGTAGGAGGCAGCCAGTTCAAACATAATTCCGTCATACCGCGAATTTCGCTATACATGATTTTGTTTAGGGCGGTTTCCTACCGTTTGATGCAACCTCCGAAATTTGATATTCGTTTCCTTGCCGTCCATTTAATGGCCGTCGTTGTGCAAACTTTCTTTTTGTTTTGTTAGGATCGCTTTACAAGGTTTCAAGATTACTGTGTTGATTGCGACTGCCAGAGTGTCGTCTAAATTGTCTGGGCACTTATGGATTGCAAGTACACTGATTCACCGAGTTTCTTCCGTTTCTTCGCAGTTTTATTAGATGATGACCATGGCCCCCTGTCGAACCTGATCGGAGTTTGTCGATAAGTAGCTTTTCAAAAAATGTAGAGTGATTACCTTACAAACTGGATGTAGCTGAATTAGGCAAAAATTTCTATTGCCTTTAGCAACCCGACCCGCACTTGTCTCCTATGGGAGCAGTGAACAGTGACTCCCTGTCCAATGCATATGTGGGCCAACTGTATATGTTTGAAGGGGAGGGACGATGAAGGTTACGTAGTGTCACAGTTTTTTGTCAATTTATAGAACGCATTCGTGTCGAAGTTGGATTCGTTGGCCTCACTAAACCCGCTGCTTTTACAACAGCACTTGCTCCAGCAGTTGGTTATAAATGGTCAAAGCTATTTGGGGCAGTCACAAGCCGCGCAGATCCATCACATCCAGCAGCAGCAGCAACAGCAACAACAACAGCAGCAACAGCGGCAGCAGCAACCCAAACAGGAGCATGTCGGGTCACTGCATCTTGGCAACACAAATACCGCCGCTGAACAGCCTGTATGTACTCTTTTTGCCTATCTGAAATATTCCATTTTTGGACGCGCCAACCATCCCGAAGTGTAATTTCCCCTGAACTGGAGTGGCCAGTTGGTATCCACCGATGTGAATACTGATTCTTTGGTTCTTC